AAGTCATTATAATCCATAATTATGTCCCCACTGGATGCAATTAATTCCTCGTTTATAATGGGTTTTCATGTTTTGGCCTGTCGGGGCATCATTACAGTATGGCAAGGGGCGTAACATTTCCGTCACACGCTCGAGGTATTCGGCCAATCATAACGCACTGGATAGCTGGCCAATCACAGCACACCTTGCTTTTCAGACCGATGAGCTTTGTAAAAATCGACGCGTTTCAGAAAGGCGGGGCATAGAGGAGAAACAATAATGTACAGTATGTGGAAAATAATGTGTTTTTTAAACCTTAAACCGCATAAACACATTTCATTACACCAAATACACAAAATAATGTTCTTTTTAGCAACATCATATGACCCCTTTAAATTTAATTTTTCTAACTCGGTATCTGTATGCTCATATTCTAGAGGCTGTAAGAAGAAATCCAGTTTGTGCCCAAATGACTGAGCTGGAGGTTGAGCAAGTTATTAGAAGGTGGTTTTATTTTGCTGGTGATTGTGAGGGTGGCAGAAAAAGAATAACACCACTGCAAAATGTTAATGTAAATAACAAATTTTCTGTTATTGTATAATTTATACTTTTGCTCATGTGTACAATTTTTTTTTTTTTTCTAACCATTTTTTGTTTGTTGGTTTCACTTGATTTATGCACATTTACTTTAATTTGCACTATTGCTTCGCTGTTTAACATTTATATTTTATTTCTTAGATTTTAATTACTGTTATACTTCTATTATATTGTGACTGTTGCTTTTATTTTGTCTTGATCTGCTGCTATTGGTTAATTGGTTAAACCATTGTTCTCATTTTATTTTTGCAACTTGTTTACATTTTTTCACATCTGTAAATATATTTTTAATTCGTGTTTTATAACCAGCTTTTGTTTGTTGGTTTCACTTACTTTATTTGTGCACATTTAGTTTTTGTATGTGCATTATTGGTTTGCTTAACATTTCTACTTACTGCTTAGTTTTTACGATCTGTTATTCTTGTAACTATGTTCCTTTTATTTAGTCTTATTCTTCTGTTATTATTGGTTTCTTGTTTTGTTTTTTTGTTTTTTGCACATCTGTAAATATATCAATCCCCATATCTACTGATTGGCTTCATCACTCTGTCTCCTCTCCACCAATAAGCTGGTATGTGGTGGGCATTCTGGCGCACTATGGCTGCCGTCGTATCATCCAGGATGCTGCACACTGGTGGTGGACGAGGAGATATCCCCCTCACAATGTAGAGCGCTTTAAGTGCTTAGAAAAGCAGAAAAGCTCTATATAAATGTAATGAATTATTATTATCGGTAGAACATGCCATTCATTCACAAAAATCAGTAAGTAGGCCTATATGTTATGATTATCAGGAGCGGTATTCAGGGGCGTAAATTTCGTCTAACAGTTGGGGGGGACAATAAACGTAAAATTTCGCAAGAGCAATTTTTGAAGGGGACACAAATAATACAGCTAAAATTGTACTTGTAAGGATATGTATACACAGAGGAATGGTTTACTACTATTAGTGCAGCAGGGAGACCGTGCCAAATTAGACAACTTAAAGCTGTTGTGGTCGCGCAGCGACACGGTCGTGTCCGTTGTAGACATTACTATCCGTCACAGTGTTGCCAAGTCCTCGGTTTTCCCGTGGAATTGGCCTACTTTATCACTGTTGTCGCGGGTTGTTTTTCATGTCCACGGGTTGAAGCGACCCCTATAACGTGTATTTTATCCCCCGGAACACGATTTTTACCGGTGGACCCCCTTGAAACGCAGATAGTTTGGGCTAGTTTTGAGCAACTGGGCGGGTTTTGTTATGAAAACCTGGCAACCCTTTCCCTCAAGCAAGTAACGTTATTATTGCTAACATAGCATTTTCATTTATACGCTGATGATATGGTGATTTACTCCTCTGCATCAACATTGGATCAGGCTCTGAGTCATCTTCAATCTGATTTTGATGCATTTCAGCATACACTGAGTGATTTAAAACTTGTTTTAAATGCGTACGATCTATCCGACATGACTTGAACGCACCATGAGACACAAAAGCTGCGTTTATGTTTAATTCAACGTCGTTTGGGGGGCTTTGACTCTGGTGGCTCATACCAACTTACGAGCTTTACTGTAATAAAAAAAAAAACTAGTTTGGGACTGTAGCCTTATTTTACACTGTTTATTCATAAGTATTTGTCATATTCTTACAATTTATGTTAAGTTGTCAAGTAAAGTGGGACAGTACTTGTGTGTGGGTCGTCCATTTTTGGGAATATATATGGGTCACAGCTTGATGACCATGTGGAAATGTGGGTCCCATGAACAAACCAATTGAGAACCACTGCTTTAGAAATATCATTCATTTCTGTAGAGCTGCACATTTTAATAAGGATCAGATGAGTGAGTTCAGCTTTGAGAATGAAAACCAACCTGTTTGTGTCTCAGTATCTTCATGTTTGACTGTGAATGTTTCTTCGATCTTAATGTCTTCACTCTCCTCTTTAATAAACGCCATCTTTATAATAGTGTGTCACGTCGATCTCAGTTGCTTCACAGAGTTTTTCTGTGTATTTGGACACCTTTTCCTGTTTAAGAAATGAGAATAATTAACAGAAAGACAAATAAATCCAAACTAAATCTAGTTGCGTCTCAACTAGCTCCCTAGTTCTAGTCAGCTCACTGGTAAGGGAGTCATTCAGAGTGGCCTTAATTTATCTGAAGAAACAAGCAAAACTAGTACTCAAATTAATAAAGGGACACAAGTTATATGGATGGTTCATATTTGTATTAAGCTTCACATTCACAGTTGACTCGCACCTCATCACTACTTGCCAGCGACTGAATTCGTGTTTAGGATGAACTGATTCACTGTATAGTTTCTGTTACTAATGTGTGAATGCGCTTTATTTACACAAAATAACATTCATTACTGTTATATTATGTGTTAAAATGTTACATTCAATAATAATTAATGAACTTTTACATCGATTGCAAACACTATAAAGTATACTGAACAAATTGTATCAATGTAAAAATTGTAAAATGTTAAAACCACAAACGTTTCTTCAGCTGAATCCATAGACTGTAAAAAAGATGGACGAGTCTCCACTTCCTACCACGTCACCGTCAGCTGGAGCGCGTGCGGCTCCGCCCACTGAGCGTTCAGCGTGAAATCCGCGAAAACACGGCTAAAATGGGGGAAAGTTGTTGTGCGATAGACTGCGATACCAGATTCAACAAGAATTCGAAGCTATCGTTTTACAGACTGCCAAAAAAACACCGAAAGGAGAAATAAATGGATCGCTGCACTTCACAGAAAAAAACTGGTATCCAGGCAACGAAACGTGGATTTGCAGTAGTCACTATTGTGTCAGGTAACGTAGACTAACCATGTTCCGTACACTTTTCGCCCTTCACCGCACGCCAGCGACCACTCCTCCGTTGGTGAAAGCCAGACAAGCAAGTTTGTGTGATCATTCTCTGGGGGGAATACTACGGTGGCCGATAAGTGCAAAACAAATCACAATTCTGAAAACAAAATAACAAATTACAAACGCAAATGCAAGTCTATAAAACAAAATAACAATTCAGAAAACATTATAACAAGTCAGAAAACACAACGACAAATCTGAAAACAAATTAACAAGTCAGAAAACACAACGACAAATCTCAGTATCGATATATCGATACATCGGATCGATACGCCCATCCCTACTTTTCGCCCTTCACCGCACGCCAGCAACCACTCCTCCGTTGTTGAAAGCCAGACAAGCATGTTTGTGTGATCATTCTCTGGGGGAATACCCATTGCACAGTCCACACTTTGATTGATGTCTTTTGGACCAATAGTTTTTGAGAAAAGTGGGTAAAAGTACCTCCTCCGCACGTGTACGGAAGATGATAAGCGTGGCATGTGGATAAGTGTGGCATGTGGGTCAAGCATGAATCATGTGAAACGTTAGTGAATAACGTTATCATATCTTTCTGAAGACAAAGAAGGGCAAACAATTTGAACTGATTCAAAATATTTAATGATTAACCAATGTGAAAACTTATTCAAAACAAATGATCAGGATGCAGGTGTGTGTGTGTGTTTACAACTATTTACATTTAACACTAAACTGATTTAAAAATACCATAACTAGAAATTAACATGTTCATTTCCTGTGTGCACTATTTACATTGTGTGTGTGTGTGTGTGTGTGTGTGTGTGTGTGTGTGTGTGTGTGTTTACAACTATTTACATTTAACACTAAACTGATTTAAAAATACCATAACTAGAAATTAACATGTTAATTTTCTGTGTGCACTATTTACATTGTGTGTGTGTGTAACGTGTGTTTTTATGTGGACAGACAACATTTATGGCAAAGCCAGTCAGTGTCTGGCACTTCCTCCACTTCTGCACACTCCAAGTGGAACCACAAATGGCACAGATCACACTGGACCCATTCGTCAATGGCCTCATCTCCTGAGCCAGGTGGGACCACTCTATGGCAGAGAGCGCAGTGTTCTCCATCTTCAGTAGGAAGAGGTGCCTGATTCTTTTGTCTTTTGGCCTCCTGGCCTCCTGGGCTTGTCTTTTTTCCTCCTCCTTCTTTGCCATCTCTTCCTTGCGCTTTCTCTTCTTTTCTTCCTTCTCTTTCTCCTGAGTTTCTTTTTCTACCAGCAGGTCGAAGTACTGACGACACGGGCTGGACTTCTCACCTTCTCCTTCCTCTCCAGGGCTGGACTCATGAGGATGTTAGCCAGACTCTCTGGGATTACACCTGCTGCCACCAGGTAATTTTTGTGAGCCACTCTATTAATGTTACAGGTGGGGCAAGGTGTTTGAGTGATGATTGATGTGTCAGTAGGTTGAGTGATGGATGGTGTGGTGGGAGCGATAGATGGTGTGGCTGATGGAGTGGCGGCAAGGCTGGATGGTGTGGCGTCACTTCCATCTGCAGATGGGAGCACTCTCACCACATAAGAAAATAAAACGTATGTAAAACTCATTAACACACTTGAAAAGAAATGGAAGTAGTTTAGAGGATGAATTATCATTGTATTAATGTCAAAATTACCTGGGTTGTGTCCACAGCAGCCCAGGACAGAGGAAAGATGCCAGCCTTGCGGAACCCGGCCTTGATGTTTTGGGCTGTGTAGGGCTGGGTATCGATTCAGATGTCCCGATTCGATTCGATTTGCAAGCTCTCGATTCGATTCTCGATTTTTTTGAATACATTCAGTGAATATAGTTTTAATACAAAATGCTATTGATATTTCTAAAAAAAAAAGAACAGTAAACATCAGTTTACAAATGGTGAATTAATAAAAAGAAATTAAGAACCACATGCCTGTATTTTGAACCTATTCTTTTTTTTTTTGTACAGGGTCCTTTTTTAAACAATAATAGGGCCTTATAAAATGTTCTTAATTTTTCTGTGAAATGATGGTAGATTTCTTAAATGAAATGGTAAAATGCTAATGAAGTGACTCTCAGAGCAGCTGGAGATGACATTCGTGTTCATATCATCATATAGTGAGACGGCAGAAGCTGAAAACACTGCGAGCATCATCCGCACTTTAGTATGCGTGTAGTAAACAAAACAGTGCGCCGCGCCATCCGCCATTCATTCATTGCGGAAATCATGGCGCCTTATGCGTGATATCAAATGCTTCCGCAGACTTATAGTATTACTATAGCATTTCACCTGAGCATTGCGAATCACGCGTATGGCCATGATAAGTGCTGAATGAATGACAGGAATAAGATTCACGTTAATCAGATATTGTTTTAAATGTGTGCTGAAATAAATCCCGGAAAAGATCGATTCGCAGCTTTTGAGAATCGATATCGAATCGACGTCATTTAAAAAAACGATAAATCGGAAAATCGATTTTTTTGCCCAGCCATAGCTGTGACAGCAGTGGGGTAGACGTGTTTGAGGAGAGCTGAAAACTGCTTCTTCCCCACAACAATGTCCCCTCGCACCAGACCCATCCTGGAAGCCATGGTGGAGAAAGCAGTCTTCAGTGGGTTGAAGACTGCAATATCCACGGGCTGAAGTAAGTACACCAGTTCAAATTAAGTTTCGGTTTGAGGTCCACATAGGAATTGCGTCACACTAGTGTACGTTTCCAACACAGCAGATTCACATCCACAATCATTTATAAATTGTCCATAGAGGGAAAAGGAACATTAAATAAGCATTTGGTCATTTAATAATTATCAAACACAATCTCAAAGCAACAATAATCATTTAACACTCATAAAAACAATAAGCACACCGAATGTGCGAAAGTGAATGTGGTGCGAGTGCGTGCATGTGTAGTAGTGAGTGAAATGAGTATGTGTAATGGCGGCAGAGAGGTACTGACCAAGTTTGCAGTCATGACGAAAGTTGGAGAGTATAGCGGGGATTTTCAGACACCAGGACAGGTGGATGAGCAGCCGATACTTGTCTTCAGAACAACTTTAAGTGCAGACGATCTGGCAGTGCCACATTTAAAAGTAACTTGGAACTTCACAATGCACCAGACATCACTCACAAGAAAAGCAAATGTTTGAACAAACAGCCATCTTTCCACCTCGCAGGGTTCTCCAAACAATCACTCCCACACTACTGCAAACTTTTACAGATGACGCAGTTACTCTCAGGTATGACTCACTTTCTTATGTCCTCTTTCCTTCCGCTGATAATTTAAATGCTCCACCCCAAACACTCAAAGTGAAAAAAAAGAAAGAAAGTAGCCTGAAAGGATGTAGTGGCACAACGCTTTCACTGCCACACGTTATCTACGGACATGTAATACATGTTCAAATAAAGTTTTGACCATTTTTTAAATAAAATGATAACATTTCAGCCTTTCATTTTTTTTAAATAAAAAGAATGAGTCAGAATGATAAATTAAATTTTATCTGCTCCATAAACAGTTCTACATAAACTAATGTGCATTCTAAAAATCTCAACACTTCTGATAACAAGATTTTTATTTTTAAGATTTACAACAAAAATTTGGTCCGATTTTTACATTGGTCTGAACAAAAATATGGCAGAACTGAATGAATTTGTAAATCCACAGTTTGACAGCAGATGGCGCTTATGAACAGCAGAACAGAGCTGTTTCCACATTAACCTCTGTAAACAAAACTTCTAAACACTGCATTTTATCACGCATTACACGGAGGGAAGATGAAAGTGAAAGTGACGTGACATGTGGCCAAGTATGGTGACCCATACTCAGAATTAGTGCTCTGCATATATCCCATCCAAAGTGCACACACACAGCAGTGAACACACACACACCGTGAACACACACCCGGAGCAGTGGGCAGCCATTTTTCTTTTTGCTGCGGCGCCCGGGGAGCAGTTGGGGGTTCGGTGCCTTGCTCAAGGGCACCTCAGTCATGTTATCGAAGGTGGGAGCGAGCGCTGTACATTCACTCCCCCCACCTACAATCCCTGCCGGTACGAGACTCGAACCCGCAACCTTGGGTTACGAGTCCGACTCTCTAACATTAGGCCACGACTTCCCCAGATGGAAAGCAATTGCCATCTAAATTTTTTTGAAGACAGTTAATTTCCTATTATGCATCCATACAAATAATTAAATCATACATTCTTTCAAATAATTTCCAGCAGTCTGCCTTCGGTCATGTTCTCACACAAAACGAAACTACTCTGCATGCTGGCCTGCGTGAGACTCTTAATAAATTTGACTAAAGCTGAGCAGTATTTACTGTGAGTTTTTCAAATCGCGATAATCACATACGGGTTTAATGATAATTAAAATACGAAACGGGATAATTAATATAACCTCACGGCCGATATGTCAATTATGTCTTGGCGAGCTACCTCCAATTAGGCCACGAGCTACTGGTAGCTCGCATGCGACGTGCTGGAGACCCCTGCACTAGACTCACTAAGACTTACCGCCACCTACTGGCGGGGTTAGTATGTTTAAAAGTATGTGTTTCCCCCCTAACATTTTCTATTTGTATATTCAAAATTGCATTTATAACATTAATCTCATAACATTATTGCAGTTGTAATTGTGCAATGTAAATTAATTTGTTCGATAGCAGCCTTAGTGTAAATTGAATCTATTGATCAATTGTAAGAATTTGACATGAAATACGATGCATACATTTAATAAGGTTAAAAAAAATGGCCTTTATAAAAGTAAATATCATCCTGAGGTTAATATAAAAAATATGCAGAAAAATGTAAAAGCTGATAGAACACAGATAAAATAGGCCTATTGCTTCAGAATAAATTGTTTACACCACCAGAAATCTCAGTCATGTGGTGCTTTTGTGTGGATATTTTGTATGGAATATTGTCTGCTGATATGAAAAGTTTGCTGGATATAGTAATAATAAATAGCATTTTTGACAGAAATATATATATATATATATATATATATATATATATATAAAATTTAACTTGTTCATATCTGTAGACACCTTAATTATGTCCTTGAATTTGAGGGTATTGGACCTGGAAAGTCATCGAAAGGTCCTTGAATTTGAAGTTAACATAAAAATATGTAGGCAATACATTATAAATAAATTTGGTGTATATTTACTATATATTATTCTTACATTTTAAATAATTCATAGGTCTTTTTTCTATGTATGATGAGTATATTTAAAAGTGTATGAAAGATGGGTTCAAGTGTACTACAAGTGGTAACTAAATGCATTTTTTAATACAGAGAAAGTATGTTAAAAGCACATTTTAGTTCATATTCATGGTGTCCCAAAATAGCACAGTTGAGTACACTT